GGGCAGCGGGGCCCTGAGCGCGCCGACGCCCGGGGGCTGAGTTCGGGGCGGACCGCAGCCCTGGACCTGGCCCCGGGAGAGGACGCCTCCCCGCCGGCCCCCAAGCTCTGGCCCCCTGCTGCCCGGGCCCCTGTGCCCTGGCGTCTGTCACGGTTCTGGGTGCGCCGCCGCCCGGTCGGCAGGTGCTGACAGGCGCCGGGCGTCTCTGTGCAGCGCTCGTGCTCCTTGCGTGCTGGACTCCGGGGTGCCCCGTGTGCCGTGCGGGCGGGTAACTGCGTGCTGAGATGCGGCCTCCCCTTGAGCGCAGCGTCTGGCTGGACGGCCGCGGGCTGGGGCGCGAATAGGACCGGAGACGCGGAGGGGCCGCTTGGAGACCGACTGAGCGCGAGGCGGAGAGGTATTAACCCGTGTCAGAAAGTGGGGGGTGCGGGCGCAGGTGAGGTCGTCTAGTAGGCGTAGACGGGGTAGGTAGGGTGGCGCGCCACGGGTACACTCGGAAAAGTCCCCGGAATCACAGGGGGAGAGTGCACAGACGCAGGTTTAAGACGTGTGATTGCATGTACTTGACGGCACCTTCTGGGAATGTTTGTTTTCAAGTCCAGGAATGGACACTGGCCAGAATTAGTCATCAGGCTTTGGCTGGCCACGTCCCTGCCGCTTGGCCAAGAGGAAGTTACGTGTTCGGAGCTCCTTAAAATCTGGGGTTCTGTGTTTTTAATGACTCCGTCCCCATCATTGTTCCCATTGGTGCCAGTAATTTTCCATATTGCTCTCTTTATAACGGTGCAGGAGGTTTTCATTTGCCTTCACGGGTAGGGGTCTTACTGCATCTGTGTTCCATCATTTTGCTATTACTTCATCTTTTGGTTGATGTCTTTCAAACAGCTCTGCCAGCACCAGGTGGTGTGAATGGAAAATAGGACTTATTGGGGGAAACAAGGCAGGGAGGGAGGTTGCACACAATCCCCTGAGCTCCGGCTCCCGCAGGATTGGGTAGGAGCCTGCTGTGGTTGGACGCACCTAATGCACATGCTCCCGCTAACAAGCTCCCGGGTGGCCCGGGCCGCACTGAAGAGCGGACGACTGTCACTGGGACTTTTTTGATAGAGGAATGGCCCTTTAGAAAGGCGGTCTGCAGGAGTTAGCAGGTGGGGTCAGCCTTCTCTCTCTCTCTTTTTTTTCTTTTTTCTTTTAGTACTTTCTTTTATTGACTCTAAGACTTCCCCCCCCCCCATGTTTTGATGGAATCAGCCTTCTTTTGTTGAGCTCAGACCTGCCTGAGCATCTTGCTAAGGTACTGAAAGAGAAGGTGAGCTTCCCACAGCCATTTGGATTTCTCTTTCCTTCGTTGGTAGTAACTTCATTAACAATCGATAATAATGTAATGTTATGTTGATACTCTCCTTGGGAAAGAAAGAGAATTATTTTTTTAGATATCATAACTTGTTCTATGTCAGAATGTTAAAAATTGTCTACAGTTCTTTGTTGTTTTTGCAATTTTGGATGTTACATCTTGTAGGAAAAGATATATTTGCAAATTCAGGTTTCAGTATCATTGTGTTTTCTGCTAAGGTTACAGGATAAATGCCATATGAAAAAGTTTCATCTGTCATGGAAAAACGAGAGACATTTGTACAAGCGGTGTCTAAGGAGCTGATTGGAGAATTTTTGCAGTTTGTTCAACTTGATGTAAGTTTTATGTTTAGCTTTATTGCGATTTGACTGTTAATTACATGCACAAATGAAATATAGTCATCTCAGTGAATCCTTAGGGACCAAGGTTTATTAAAAAAAAAACAAAAAACCAGACCTGTACTCAAATACACCTGCTGATGGGCAACTATTCACAAATTGTATTTCTTGCTTCCTTTTAAGAGATTTGTAAAAATGCTAAGTGATGTAACACAGTGTGCTTCTATTTACTTAAATATTTATTGATCTCTTGCTTTGTGCATAGCATAGTGAGGAAGACATACTTTTTTGGTCCTCAGGTTATTTACAGTGTTGTGGTAGATCCAGGTGTGTAAATACACCAGAGTAAAAAGGCTAAGCTTGGGCAAGGATATGGGACAAGGCCCAAATCCAGCCATGGACTGCTTCCTATCCCAGTGGAAAGGGTATGGAAGCTGTGATATAAAGAGTAAACAAGTCAGCCAGTCAAAGACGGATGTGGGGAAGGACCTCTCCAAGTAGAGGGGATAATTTTAAAGACAGGAGAAGGTACATTGTATTTGAACTTGAAGACATTCGGTAGGGCTAGGGTATAGAAATGCCAGGTCAGGAAGAGGCAGGGGCTGAGATTTAGATTATGTCAGTCCTTCTTTACCACTTTAAGGAGCTGAGACTTTATCCTGAGAGGCGTGGGGGCTTGTACATGCATAGATTGAAGAGGGCAACACGAGAACCTAAGAGTGGTGAAGAGGCTGTGCCCTCATGATGGTGGTTGCATTAGGAGATGGACATGGGAAGATGTGGGTGCCTTTGTGAGCTGTTAGGTGGTGAGGTGGTGGTGCTGTTGACTGGATATGGGCCAGGGAAAGGACCAAGGCAGATGCCAGGGTCTGACTTGTGGTGCCTTTCAGTGAGATCATGGACATGGGGAAAAGGCAGGTTTGAGCGGGAAGATAGTCTCAATTTGGAATGTTCTGGATGACTGCCAGGGGAATGTGCACAAGTTGATGTCCAGTAGGTGGATGGATAGCTGTATCTGAGGCCCAGGAAAGAGGCCTGGGTAGAGACAGATTTGGGTGTCCTCAGTGGCACTTGGAAACTTCAGTCATGGGAATGCACGGGATCATCTGTAGTGTAATAAGAGAAGAGAAGCCTAGGACAGAACTCTGAGGAACCCCAACACTTAAGATACCAACTCTAAAACACTTGTGACTTTGGGGCAGGAGATGCATACCTTACTTGTTCTGCTCATGCAGTGAATATTAAGTTAGTAGTAATTAAGAAGTAGAGAGGAACCTAATATGAAATTTGTTGTTAGCAACATTTATGAAGTCATTTTTCTTTATAAGAGGAAATGAGTTTGTAATATGATTTTATATTATAAAATGGTACTCTGTAAACTTAAAAATAACCAGCACAAACCCACAGGCAGCACATCACAGAAGGGTCTGTAAGAGCAAACTATTTAGATGTTCCATAAACTGTTTTAGTAGGAGTGTAGATGATTTGTATTATATTAGATGTGCAATACACATGTGGTTTAAAGTTTACAAGATTGTTATTGCAGACTGGTGTTATAGTATTAACTAATACCACAAACTAAATTGATGATGATGAAGCTAAGTTAATATTAATTTAAAATCAAAAGGCCAAAATAGCAGCATTTAGTTAGCACAGTCCATGCAAGATCACATTGGTGCTGCGGTGACAGAGCGCCCTTTAAGGTGCTTGCCTCCAACTTCCCTGGTCACATGCTGGAGAGCCTTGCACTGTTGCTCAGCAACGGACATCTCGGAAGGATGCTGAGTTAGTCCTCATATTCATAGGCGTTCGTTTTAGTTTAGGAGTACCAAGTCTTACTAACACTTAATAATTTAGTATCTCAATCACTATGTAGCTCTTAAACATGAAAATGAGAAGATGTAGGATTGTGCATCACTTGTTTTGTTTGAGTTGAATGATATGAAATGCCATTCTGTAGGTCAGGATAGTTGAATAATGGCAGTTTTACATGGTCAACCAGATAATTTAAGTCAGTTTGAAGCCTATTAAGTGGACCTTCCCACATATAATCAGTTCTGCTATAATACAATATACGCCTTGCCAAAAATGCCAAAAATCACTATACTCTGCTGAACAGGCAGTGAAAACCCAGAAGGGTTATGGGACAAGTGGGGTTAAGGGCATAACACTCAAAAACCTCACCAGTGACACATTAAAAAAAGACAGTGACCTAATAAAAAGTAGCAGTTTTATACAAGTTAACTCACTAAGAAGTACATAAATACCGTAGTAAACATGACATTTACCTTGAAAAAGATCCTAAGTTTGCAGGTGGAAGTGGGTACCCATGCTCCCAGGGGCTAGCCTTCCAACCCTGTGTGTGACAGGAAGAGAACAGAGAAGAAAAATACAGACCAGGCTGGGAGGACAGAGAACATTGAAGAGAGCTTTGGTCAGAGGGTTGAATGAGGTGGGTCATGAAGGTGGGAGGGACCCAGGGTGTGGATGGTGCGGCTTGCAGCACATGTAGGGTCCCAGGAGCTGGCAGGCGTCTGGGGTGTGTGTTTTCTGTGACTCTGAGGCTCCACTCAGTGGGTGCAGTTTTCTGCATTCACGTACTGATGAAATCCCACATAAGTAAACCAGAAATTGTCTTTTGCAGAAATTGTTCCCTTGTGTGTTGATTGCATTTCAAAACAAGTGTTAGGGAGCAGCATTGACTGTGCCCTCAGTGGTTCTCTGAGAATGGAGGATTAGTGTTGAGAGTAGGATGATCAGGACCCAGGATAACTGCCATTTAAGGAGTTGTCCTGAGTGCTCTCTGGATGCCAGGCTCTGCTCTGGAGGTTGGGATACAGCACATACCAAGTTTCTGCCCAAAGAGAGCTTAGGTTCTACAGGTGAAGGGAGAGGAACAAGCAGGGTAGAGGATGGGAGTGCAATGTCATTTTGGTCAGAGATTAGAATGGGCCCTATGGAGACTGAGGGAGGAGAATTCTGGATAAGAGGGATGGGGAGGGGAAGACCCTGAGGCAGGTGCACCCCTAGACAGCTCAGATGGGGCTTCCTGGGAAAGAAGGGAAGATGGTAGGAGTTAGGGTGGGGAATTAGGCTTGGAGGACCCTGGAGAAGCTACGTGCCCTCCCCTTTGCTACTGAAATAATTGCAGAGTTAAAGGAAAGTTGCAGAAGAATCCTGAATCCCCTGCACTCAGATTTGCCAATTACCACCTGCCATGTTTTCTTTATCATTCCCTGCATTTACCTGTTCTTTTTGAGTCATTTGGAAGTCTGTTGCAGGCATTTGTCTCATCCCTAAATATTTCAGTGTGTATTTGCCTAAAGAAAGATATTCTCTTATATAATCACAATAAAAATTCCAAAAGTCAGGAAATTTGACATTGGCACAATGATACTGTCATCTACAGTACATATTCATGTTTTTCCCCTGATCCAGGACCCCATTCAGTATCACACATTGCATTCAGTTGTCTGACTTGTTACTTTCTTTAATCTAGAGAGTGTCTCAGCCTTACTTCATTTTTCATTACATTGACAGTTTTGAAGAGTGTAGGCAGCTATTTAGTGGCATATCCTTCAGTTTGCATTTATTTGATGATTTGATTAAATTTATTTTATGCATTTTGGCAGGAGCTGCATTAAGTGGTGTTTTGTCTTCCTCAGTGGAGGGATTGATGCCCATTTGTCTCATTATTGGTGAGGTTAGTTTTTTTTTTTTTTTTTTTTTTTTGGTGAGGTTAGTTTTAATCAGTCACTTAGGTTGGGGGTCCACCAGATTTCTCCACCGTGATGCTACTATTTCCACCTTCATAATTAATAAGTAATCTTCATTGGGGAAGTAAGTTGAGATTAGGTAAATACCCTGCTCCTCATCAAACTTCTACCCACTAGTTTTAATATCAATTGATGATTCTTGCCTGAATCAATTATTATTATAATGGCTATAAAATTGTGATTTTCCAACCACATGTCCCTTCCGTATTTATTCATTGGTGTTCTATAGCATGCTGATGCTATTTGTTATTTATTTACTATCAATATAGTTTCACTGGTTTTTTATTCACTGGGTTATAATCCGTTACTGTCACTGTTTTGGTGGTCACATTAGCTGCAGGCAGTCCCTTTATAATGGATCCTCTACCCTTTTGATAACGGTTTCCGTTTGCTGTATCAAAGAGTAAGTGAGGTCATCTGCTCAGAGTGAGAGGAAATGGTTGGCTCAGGACTTTTAAGGATAGTTGAGAGGATCTGATGTAGTCTCATTGGCTAATGGAAGAGAATGATGTCTACAGACAAGTAAGAGGGTGTTGAGGTACCAAGTTGGGTTAGAGATCAGAAACTTCAAATACACTCAGTTGGCTTTGCTGTGTTGGGAGCTGGAGCTATATATGATGGTAATTGTATAGCTCCCGCACACTTTTGTGCCCTAATTATAGGCCTGGAGATGGTAGACATGTGGATGGATTGATTTTAGAGAGGATTTTTCTAAGTGGGTGAAATTTTAAACTCCAAAGACTAGGTTACTAGGGCTGAATAGGTAGAGGAGGAATCTGCTACTTTCTATTTTATTATTTTATTTCATCTTTAAAATTTATTTATTAGAGAGAGATGGAGCACACAAGCTGGCAGAGGGGCAGAGGGAGAGGGAGAAACAGGCTCTCCGCTGAGCAGGGAGCCCAATGTGGGGCTTGAAATCCCAGGACCCTGTGATCACAACCTGAGTCAAAGGCAGACACTAACCAACTTAGCCACCCAGACGTCCTGGAATCTACTACTTTCTGTCTCGTTATTCCTATACTTTTCCCTTTAGGAAAAGTATTTCAAAACTACAACTCAGCTCTTGAAATGATAATTAACTTAGCACTTAAACTTTTGATGCTGTTATAAAAGGGATAGAACTAATTTTTGTATTTGAAATATAACAGTTGCTATTTATTTTGCAGAAAGATGCTTCTGACCCTTTCAGCCTAAATGAATTACTAGATGAATTATCAAGGAAACAGAAAGAAGAGCTATGGCAAAGGCTCAAGAATTTATTAATAGATGTGTTGTTAGAAAGCCCAGTGGCTGGGTGGCAGACGGTGGAAGTCCAGGGTGAAGAGGATATGGAAACAGAGCATGATTCAAAAATGGTAGTAGTAGTCTTTCAAATATAAAACTTGTTACATTTTCTTTGTTAAAAAATAGTTATTGTATATAATTGAATTTTAAGTTAAGAAACTTAAAGCTAGAAGTTAAGAATATTAGAAGTCTGTTTATTATAGTTTTACTTTTTCCATTCCTGCTGTTAATTAATCTGCTATTTAATGTTGCTGTCCTTTTTGGACGATTGACCTGTATTCAATTTTAATTCACTTTTTAGAATAAGAAGTGTGGGTTCATTTTTATAAATTTAGTAACTTTCACATTTCTTTTAAAAATTATATTTTAAGTTGATCTTAAATCACTTGAACTTTGATTTTTTTCATTTGTAGAAAAAAAACATAGAAATAATTCATGCAGTTACATCTGTGGTTCTTGCTTCTGTATCTGTAATAAATGAAAGTGAGAACTATGAAGACTTACTGGAATGTGCAGTTATGTTGAATGGTAAGTTGAATTTGTGATAACATGGCATGTTTAGAGGTGGGCATCTAATGATTCTCTGTAAAAGGAAACCAGTCATCATGTAGAAGTGGAAGTATTAAGGCATAACTTTGCATTCAAGCTCCTTTACTTCAGCTAGAAAAGGAGCAAAGAAGTATTCTTTTAAGGGCTGTCCTGATGAACTGATGTAATTTAAGCCACATAGAACTATTTCAAATGGTGAAAATGTACATACTGAACAACTGACTGCTTGTTGTTTTCAGATTTTCCAGAATGTCTTATTTGACCTACAGGACCATAGTAATAAGAGCTTATTAAGGGAAAATGGTCTCATAAATTCCTCAGCTGGTGATTACTGCCAGAAAGTTTCAGCTTAACCAAGCATTTGTGACATTGCATTTTTTTTCTTTAAATGTTATGAACATGACCTGAGGAATAATTATTGACTCTTAGGGGAGCTTTACTATTACAATTTATATCATGGTGCTTTTTAGGTTTTAACTAAACTGTGAAACTGTAGTTATTAATTTAGGAGGAACACTATGAATTAGTGAGAATATCTGATTATAAAATATTTACATAAAACTGTTTTATAGATAAAAAAGATTCAAAAGTAATTTTAATGAGTTTTAAGAAAGATCACCTAAGTGTCCTCACCTTCACCCTGTGAATTAATTAGTTCCATGTGACAAACTTTCCCCATCAGACTTTCCATTCTTAGTGCGACTTGGATTTATGTATCTGTTTTATTCAGAATTTTTGCATTGAAATACAGTGTCTTATTAAGTTACCCCTAATTGGTATATAAATAATTCCCAATGCTTTGTGAATGTTACTACAGTTTATTTTCACAGTCTCCAAATAGATGTTTCGTAAAATGATTAGTGCTAAAATTGTAGTTGTTCCTAACTTCCCATTGATTCAGGAATTTAACATGGATGTAATGGCATTCGGATATCTATGGATCATAAGTGTGAGCATATTATCAGTATTTTCATTTCATTCTTGAGCTTTTCTATTAATAAAAGCACTGCAGTTCTTGTATTCATTATAATAATTGCTTTTACCGTTTTTCACCAGTGAGCCAGAATGAGGCCAACCTATGAAGGACAGGTGTAGTGGATTGGTGGTTGTCACACCTGGCCTGGGTTTGGTGTTGAGTGTTACCTGTGGGTGTTGTAGCACTTACGTTTGGGTAGTTTGAATACCTGCCTCTCTTTAGTGAGGGATTTGGACAGTGTGACCCCTCTGAGTCTTCCAGTTCTAAAATTCTGTATTCTGTTGAGTCTGCTTTTATAACAGTAGTTAACAGTTTTTTTCAAGTTAACATCGTTTGTATTCTTTAAATGTATATAAATTTCTGGCAAGTTAAACATAAATGTTTGCTTAGCAAACCTTTGTGAGTCATAGTACTTTACACTATTGAATCTGAACTAATATTCGTTTACTTTACTAACTGAACAATTACTGTGCTGTTTTAGGTATTTTATATGCATTACCTGATTCTGAAAAAAAGCTGCAGAGTTCCATTCAGGACTTATGTGTCATATGGTGGGAGAAAGGCCTGCCTGCCAAGGAAGATATGGGAAAGACTGCTTTTATTATGCTGTTAAGGAAGAGTCTAGAGACTAAAACAGTATGTTTACTTTTTAAAATACATACCTTCCTTTAATAGTGCATGTGTTCATACCAGTTAGGAATTATGTTCATTTGTAAGTGGCCTGACTGCAGTTGCTTCCCCAGTTAGGGTCTTTTTAACTTAAGATATTCAGGGGCGGACAGTGGGTGGTGGCTCCACATTGCAGTCCTTTTTTTTTTTTTTTAATTTTTTTTTTTTTAAGATTTTACTTATTTGTCAGAGAGATACAGGCAGGCAGAGGGAGAAGTAGGCTCCCCGCTGAGCAGGGAGCCCAATGTGGGACTCAATCCCAGGACCCTGGGATCATGACCTGAGCCGAAGGCAGACGCTTAACGACTGAGCCACCCAGGCACCCCATCCACATTGCAGTCTTATGCGGGCTTTCTCCTCCATCTTCCGGGGTGTGTGGTCCTTGTCCTCCCTCTTACCACCTCACGGTAGCAAGGTGGCTGCCGCACTTCACTGTCTCATGTGAGTTCCAGGTAGGAAGAAGAGACAGGGAGGCAGCAAGGGCCAGACCTTCTCAGAAGTTCTCAACTTGTATCCACCATCCAGAACTGGGTCACATGGCCACATTTGTTTGCTGCAAATGGGGTTTTTGAAGGGATACATTGCCGCTGTTAGCAAAAGTGGATATTTTTAGTAGTGAAGAAGTGATGAGGTAACTGAGGTAGGTAAGTGGGAGTGGCTGCCTGTGTTAGTGGGATCCTCTGAGAGGCAGACCCCACCTCGGGCTGCATAGGACTGGACATGCGTGATGAAGGGTGAAAGGGGGCAGGAGTGGTAGGGAATGCCTCAGGCCCAGTGCAGGCGCACACCCGTAGAAGGTGGGGTTGTGTCAGGCTGCAGCCTAGGCCTAATAAAGTTTTGGAGAGCAGGTTTGAGGATTGGATTTAACTTGGTCCATTTCTCAGCCTTTCATCTTTGGTGTCTAGTTAAGAAATCCAGAAAAAGAACAGTTTGTATCCCCTGATCAAGAGAACAACAGATACGTTCATCTTAGAAAAGTGGGCAAATGAAGAAAAGGGAAAACGAGGAAGATAAAAATCCTCTGTAATTCCACTACCTAAGGTGATCATTCCTATTTTAGGGGTGCTTAAGAATTTCTCTATGTCTTCTCCCCCCCCCATACCTTTACTTCCTTATGACAGATTCCTAGAAATGAAATTCATAGGTCAGTGGGTTTGAACTTGATGCACATTTGGAGCTCTTGATACACATTGCCAACAGCTTTCTAGCCAGCTTGCCCTTCATCACACTCCCACTGTCTGTGTGTCTGTCTCACCATGGCCTCCAAGGAGGCCAGTATGATGACAGAAAAGACTGTGGCTGCTCCCTCAGCTCACCATAGGATTGTCAGAATTTATCCTTAAGCCATTGTTGGTTTCTCTTTTTAAAAATCTGTATTCAAAAAAAAAAAAATCATTTTTTCTGCCTTTTCGTTTAGCTTTTATTTATTTATTTATTTTTTTAAAGATTTTATTTATTTATTTTGAGAGAGAGAGAATGAGAGACAGAGAGCATGAGAGGGAGGAGGGTCAG